ACATAACTAGTAAACCCTGGCGACATAACTAGTAAACCCTGGCAACATAACTAGTAAACCCTGGCGACATAACTAGTAAACCCTGGCGACATAACTAGTAAACCCTGGCGACGTAACTAGTAAACCCTGGCGACATAACTAGTAAACCCTGGCGACATATCTAGTAAACCCTGGCGATGTAACTAGTAAACCCTGGCGACATAGCTAGTAAACCCTGGCGACATAACTAGTAAACCCTGGCGACATAACTAGTAAACCCTGGCGACATAACTAGTAAACCCTGGCAACATAACTAGTAAACCGTGGCGACATAACTAGTAAACCCTGGCGACATAACTAGTAAACCCTGGCGACATAACTAGTAAACCCTGGCGACATAACTAGTAAACCCTGGCGACATAACTAGTAAACCCTGGCGACATAACTAGTAAACCCTGGCGACATAACTAGTAAACCCTGGCGACATAACTAGTAAACCCTGGCGACATAACTAGTAAACCCTGGCGACATAACTAGTAAACCCTGGCGACGTAACTAGTAAACAGAGGAAATGCTATTTTAGTGCCAGGAATGTCTGCATTGTTTATTCTGGACCACTATGTGGGCGAAACATAGTCAATAAAGGATCACATTATACTGCATATGTGTTTATATTTCCAAATATACATTAATGTCTACTGCTGAGTTTGTTTGCTCAAATTCCCATTATGACCAGGTCTCACAGGCCATTTATTACCTGTGTTTGTAATATGGGAGCTCTGTCCATTAACTGGAGCAAGATCTGGTCATGGTATCATTCAGACTGCATCGCTATCGCCTTTTGTATTGCCTGTCAGTCTTGCTACTGTGTGTGTATCCTGCAATTTGTACTATGCTACTGCTGCTTCTTGCATGAATTGCAAGTAGAATTTTAAAGTGTGTTATGCTACCAACATGGGTGAGGTGGATGGTGTCTGAGTATATTCTCCTAAATCTGCCCAAACTAACTCTACAACATTGCTCATTCCATTGGCATAGAATAGCAACAAACTTTCACTGCTGAGCAGCTTTGTGACGTTATTCATACCAAATTAAAGGGCATAGAAACAGCTGGTCATAAGAGTCTTAGTGGAGTCCACAAGTCAAGGATATTTATCCGTCAACAAAGAAACCACAGTTGGTAAACACATCTGGTCTAAGTTCATGTTGAAGCAACTATGTTGTACCAATCTCTCTAGACCTATTAAAGCTACATAGAATTACCTGTTTAATCTGTTATAGCTGAATTAATCTTAAGTTAATTTTAAGTTTGCCTGCAATGGTCTGCATACAAGGGGCTTTTGGTATGTATACTCAACTATTATATTCCTTTGTACAACTATGTATCATGTCAAAATAAAATATTATTCTTATTATTATTATTATTATTATTATTATTATTATTATTATTATTAATCTAAGGTATCTCCCACTACAGGAGCTATTAATCACCGATTTCTGCTTAGGTTCCTTCGTAATGTGGGAGGGTTAACACCAGAGCAATCAGACCAGCAGTCTCGTGAAGCAGGTGGTGCACCAGGTTTGTCTCAGGGCGAGTCAGATATGTTGGTGCTTGAATTAGCTAAACTCAATCTCAAAACAACCAGAGAACAACAGCAAGCATTTGATAGAGAGAAGGAGAGGAGGCAATTTAACCAGACTGTTGGTAACAACTTTAGTGTGCAAAATGCAGTGCCCTTAGTACAGTGGACCCTTGACTAACGATATTAATTGGTACCCGAGTACGAATATAGTTAGTCGAGTTTTTTTATCGTCAGTCGAGGCAACATGTTAGCGTTAACATGTATCGTTAGTCGAATTTAATGTTAGACGATGCCATCGTTGGTTGAGGGTCCACTGTACCTTGCTTTGTTGAGTCTGAGCCTAGACAGTTTTTTGAGGCATTTGAAAACCAGGCTCGAGCACTGAGGTGGCCTGGGGAGCATCGGGCAGCACTGGTGCATACAGCATTGTCAGCAAAGCACAAGAGCTCACAGCTGTTTCAAATAATTAGGAATTCAAATTGTGCAAGTATCAGCTGGGTCAGTCTCATGTAGACTTTGTACGGCAGCAGTCAAAATATTTCACAAAACAGTACATGGCAACTGGTGTCACAAACTTCACCGACTTAGTGCAGTTACTTTTGGTAGATAACCTGCTGGAATCTGTCAGACCAGAGGTTAGTCTTTCTTGACCACTGCATTAGAAGCAGCCAGGATGGCTGACACTTTTGAGGCTAACTACTCCTTGTCCAAGCAGTCTAATCTTTCTTCCCAACATTGTAACCTTTACAAAGAAATAAATCTTTACTTTACAGTGGTACCCTGAGTTTCGAACTCCTCCCAACTCGACCAATTATGTAAGTATATTATTGTAAGTGTATTTGGGGTCTGAAAATGGACTAATCTAATTTGCATTATTCCTTATGGGAACAAATTCGTTCGGTAACGACGCCCGAACAGCCTTCTGGAACGAAGAAAGTTCGAAACTTGGGGTACTACTGTATCTTAACAGCCTGGCATGAACAGAGATCATGGACAAGTCCGTGACTGGAAGACGAAGTTGCAGGATGAAAGTGAACAACAACGCCAACTAAGTCGTCTGGTGAGCAGTGACATCAAACTCACAGTCAACCTGATGACATCAAAACTCATAGTCAACATGAACACTGATGCCAGTACATAGAGTAGCACCAGCCACAAAATCAACAGGGAGCCACGTTAAAGTGTGACCTTATTTGTCACTGTTGTTTCATAAACCACGCCACATAAAGTCCATCTGCTCAATTAACCCTCAACCCTTAGGAAAAAATCAACATCCTCTCTTACGAGATTAACTAGAAAGAAGTCGAATGTGGTATGATCCATACTACAGTACATGCCACATCTCCCTTGAGGAGAATAAAAAAAAATGAAACAACCACTTTTAGGGATACAGGGGTTTACTGTTCCCTTATTCAATACACAAATAACCCGCACATAGAAGAGAGAAGCTTACGACGATGTTTTGGTCTGACTTGGACCATTTACAAAGTCACACTAACCAAGTCGGACCGAAACGTCGTCGTAAGCTTCTCTCTTCTATGTGCGGGTTATTTGTGTATCGTTCCAGTCACGGTATTGTGCCTTTTTATTGTTATTCCCTTATTCAAATTCAGATTCAAATATTTATTTCCTTGTAAAGCTTACAATGTGTGGTTTACATGTTATAAGATTTTAATTACAAAGATGGCCACTATTGTGCCTAGGCACTTCGGGCAGACTAATACTAATTCTTACGCTATACTGATATAGGTTATAACTGAGCAGTACATTTTAACATATTATTAGATACATAATTAGATACATTCCCAATTAGGCACATACATAATTAGGTTTAAAATAGGTTGTACAAATCATATAATAATATTACAAACAGTAGATTTAGTAATGAGATTTGGTTTGTCTTGGCATGATACATTGTTTCTGTTAGAGCTCATATACTTGAAGAGAATCTTAGGCAAACTTAGGACTAACTTAAGATTTAATAGGCAATAACTATATTAGGATTTTTAAGTTTACAGTCATTTGGGTGAGTGTAAGTGTAAATTATGGGGGAATTACAGATAATGAGAGTAAGTCTATATTGTTTTAAGAACATAAGAACATAAAAAAGAAGGAACACTGTAGCAGGTCTACTGGCCCATACGAGGCAGGTCCAAGAATCCTACCGGCTTAAGCCAATGCCCCAACCTAGTCAGGTCAGGTCACATTCACTTAAGGAAGGAACACGTCAATTGACCTGGTAGCACAAGTTAATCAGTTCCAACTCACATCCACCCACACACACTCATGTATTTATCTAACCTATTTTTAAAACTACACAACATTTTAGCCTCAATAACTGTACTTGGAGTTTGTTCCACTCATCCACAACTCTATTACCAAACCAGTACTTTCCTATATCCTTCCTGAATCTGAATTTTTCCAACTTAAAACCATTGCTACGAGTCCTGTCTAGGCTAGATATTTTCAGCACGTTATTTACATCCCCTTTATTTATTCCTGTTTTCCATTTATACACCTCAATCATATCCCCCCTAATTCTACGTCTTTCTAGAGAGTGCAGATTCAGGGCCTCAGTCTATCCTCATAGGGAAGATTTCTGATACATGGGATCATCTTTGTCATCCTCCTTTGTACGTTTTCCAGAGCATTTATATCCATTCTGTAATACGGTGACCAAAACTGAGCAGCATAATCTAAATGAGGCCTAACCAAGGATATATAGAGTTGAAGAACAACCTGAGGACTCCTATTATTTATGCCTCTTGATATGAAGCCAAGGATTCTATTAGCTTTATTGCGAACACTTATGCACTGTTGTCTTGGTTTCAGATTACTGCTAACCAGAACTCCTAAATCTTTTTCGCAATCCGTAATATTGAGATCGACATTATTTAATTTATATGTGGCATGGTTATTGTCCTGTCCAACATTTAGAACTTTGCATTTGTCTATATTAAACTACATCTGCCACTTCTCCGACCATTGCGTCAGTCTATTCAAATCTTCCTGGAGTGCTCGAATGTCCTCGTCAGAATGAATTCGACGGCCTATTTTGGTGTCATCGGCAAACTTGCCGATGTCGCTCTTTATGCCCTCATCTATGTCGTTTATGTAGACTGTGAACAACAGGGGCCCAACACTGATACAATAAAGAGAATTAGGTGGTTTTCACTTGGTTAGTTGAAGCTTATGATGTTGTTATATTTACACTGTCCCAATCTTACATCTGTAATTATTTTTCAAAAATAATTACTGTATTTAACCCCTTCTCCTGTATATATAACTAAATTTCAAAAGAGAGACTTTCATTTTTCTTTTTTGGGCAACCCTGCCTAGGTGGGATACAGCTGGCTTGTTGAAAGAAGTAGAAATGTTGTATTTGAAATCATCTGCCATGAACACATTAAATTTGTGCATAAAGACTGGAAGACATACCTGATCTTACGCAGTTGTGCCAGTAATGAGTTGAGTTGCACCTGTGTGCCGAGACTCTGCTCCAACAGCTCTCTGCTGTCAACGTCAGTAAAGACTTTGATGAATTTAGCACCGTAATCCCTCAGATCTGCAAATAAATGTGTATTGATAGAGGCCTATTTTCCTTGAAGGTGAGTAACACCATGCTTGATGTTATATAACTATTAGCATAGACCGAGTGTCATGAGGTTATCAGTACATACAGTAGTAGCCCAAAACCTAACCTGCTGTATAAGCAGGGCCTTCCTGTACAGCAGTATCCTGGAACCTAACCTGCTGTATAAGAGGAGCCTTCCTGCAGTGTTCTGGCTAACAAGGACATTAATCTGCCTTGCAAAGAATGTTATGTTGTAGCACCCTAATTGTCTCCCACCAAGGTAATGTGACCCTATAAAAAAAACACTTTCACTGCAACAGTTTTGCCAGAAACACATTGATATTGCAATTCAGATGACCCTCCTCACTGCTATATCCCCCATTCCACCTCCAGGACTCAAGTCTGGCTAACTGGTATCCCTGTATTTCTTAATAAATGTTACCTTGCTCATACTCCAACAGCATGTTAAATTTTCAAAATCACCTGCCTCCACTCACTCTTTTCCAGCATGCTCACAAAGGCATATTAGATTTCCAACCCCTTGGAACTCAACCTTTACCCCCTCCTTCCAACCTTACCAAGGATGGCCCATACCTTTCCTCCCCTCCATCCCCAGACTTCTCCGCACCCCTTAGTTATCTTCTTAATTTCTAAACCACCTCAATAACCTCTCCTCAGTTCCACGACTAATACTTCTGGCAACCCCACACCTCCTCATACTCCATGTATAATATTCCCGCCACACATTGCCCTCAAACATAACATCTCCAACTGCCTCCAGCTTCTTCCATCTTCACTGCAACATATAAAACCCAACAGCTGCTCTCGTATCTTTGCTGTCCTCTGGCCTGGCCTAAGTTCCAATTATAACCTAAATGCTTGTACTGCTGCACTGACCCACATGAAACTAATAATGACCAAAAAAACTGTTAGTGATGTAGACAAGCCGACCATTTATGACTAAATGAGGAGTGCCTGGCATACCAAACAGCAGTGTGCTACCAGACATAACATCAGCCAGGCAACAGTTACCACTACAGTAGCTCCATATTAACTGTGCTAGTGTTCTCATGAGATGGAAAAATACAAAAAATAATTCCAACATGTACACCAAAACTCCTAGAAACTGTTACCCTTAATGTCTACCTTGAAGGATGCCAGTGCATCGTCTGCCTCCTTAATGTCTACCTTGAAGGATGCCAGTGCATCGTCTGCCTCCTTAATGTCTACCTTGAAGGATGCCAGTGCATCGTCTACCTCCTTAATGTCTACCTTGAAGGATGCCAGTGCATCGTCTACCTCCTTAATGTCTACCTTGAAGGATGCCAGTGCATTGTCTACCTCCTTAATGTCTACCTTGAAGGATGCCAGTGCATCGTCTACCTCCTTAATGTCTACCTTGAAGGATGCCAGTGCATCGTCTACCCTCCCTCACCCTGCCTACCCTCCCTCACCCTGCCTACCTCCCTCACCCTCCCTACCCTCCCCTCTGCATACCTCCCTCACCCTGCCTACCCTCCCTCACCCGGGCCCTACCCCCCTCACCCTGCCTACCCTCCCCACCCTGCCTCCTCCCTCACCCTGCCTACCCTCCCTCACCCTGCCTACCTCCCTCCCACTGCCTACCCCTCCTTCACCTGCCTACCCCCCCCTCACCCTGCCTCCCCTCCCTCCCCCTGCCTACCCCCTCACCCTCCCTACCTCCTCACCCTGCCTACCCACCCTCCCCCTGCCTACCCTCCCTCCCCCTGCCTACCTCCCTCCCACTGCCTACCCCCCCCTCCCCCTGCCTACCCTCCCCCCACCCTCCCTACCCTCCCCCACCCTGCCTACCCCTCCCTCCCCCTGCCTACCTCCCTCCCACTGCCTACCCTCCCTCCCCCTGCCTACCCCCCTCACCCTGCCTACCCTCCCTCCCCCTGCCTACCTCCCTCACCCTGCCTACCTCCCTCACCCTGCCTACCCCCCTCCCCCGGGCCTACCCTCCCTCCCCCTGCCTACCCTCGCCCCACCCTGCCTACCCCCTCACCCTGCCTACCCTCCCTCCCCCAGCCTACCCCCCTCACCCTGCCTACCTCCCTCACCCTGCCTACCTCCCTCACCCTGCCTACCTCCCTCACCCTGCCTACCTCCCTCCCACTGCCTACCTCCCTCACCCTGCCTACCTCCCTCACCCTGCCTACCCCCCTCCCCCTGCCTACCTCCCTCACCCTGACTACCCCCTCACCCTGCCTACCCTCCCTCCCCCTGCCTACCCCCCTCACCATGCCTACCCTCCCCCCCCCTGCCTCCCCCCCTCACCCTGCCTACCCCCCCCTCCCCCTGCCTACCTCCCTCCCTGCCTACCCTCCCTCCCCCTGCCTACCCTCCCTCACCCGCCTACCCCCTCACCCTGCCTACCCCCCCTCCCCCTGCCTACCCCCCTCACCCTGCCTACCCTCCCTCCCCCTGCCTACCTCCCTAAACCCTGCCTACCCTCCCTCCCCCTGCCTACCTCCCTCACCCTGCCTACCCTCCCTCCCCCTGCCTACCTCCCTCACCCTGCCTACCCTCCCTCCCCCTGCCTACCCTCCCTCACCCTGCCTACCCCCCCTCACCCTCCTACCCTCCCTCCCCCTGCCTACCCCCCTCACCCTGCCTACCCTCCCCCCCTGCCTACCTCCCTCACCCTGCCTACCCTCCCTCACCCTGCCTACCCCCCTCACCCTGCCTACCCTCCCTCCCCCTGGCTACCTCCCTCACCCTGCCTACCTCCCTCACCCTGCCTACCTCCCTCACCCTCCCTACCTCCCCACCCGGGCCTACCTCCCTCCCACTGCCTACCTCCCACACCCTGCCTACCTCCCTCACCCTGCCTACCCCTCCCTCCCCCTGCCTACCTCCCTCACCCTGCCTACCCACCTCACCCTGCCTACCCTCCCTCCCCCTGCATACCCCCCTCACCCTGCCTACCCTCCCTCCCCCTGCCTACCCCCCTCACCCTGCCTACCCTCCCCCCCCCTGCCTACCTCCCTCACCCTGCCTACCCTCCCCCCCCCCTGCCTACCCCCCCCTCACCCGGGCCACCCCCCTCACCCTGCCTACCCTCCCTCCCCCTCCCTACCCCCCTCACCCTGCCTACCCTCCCTCCCCCTGCCTACCTCCCTCACCCTGCCTACCCTCCCTCCCCCTGCCACCTCCCTCACCCTGCCTACCCTCCCTCCCCCTGCCTACCTCCCTCACCCTGCCACCCTCCCTCCCCCTGCCTCCCCTTTCCCTCACCCTGCCTCCCCCCCTCACCCTGCCTACCCCCCTCCCCTGCCTACCCCCCTCACCCTGCCTACCCTCCCTCCCCCTGCCTACCTCCTCACCCTGCCTACCCTCCCTCACCGCCCTACCTCCCTCACCCTGCCTACCCCCCCTCTCCCTGCCTACCCTCCCTCCCCCTGCCTACCTCCCTCACCCTGCCTACCCCCCCTCCCCCTCCCTACTCCCTCACCCTGCCAACCCCCCTCACCCTGCCTACCCTCCCTCCCCCTGCCTACCCCCCTCACCCTGCCTACCCTCCCCCCCCCCTGCCTACCTCCCTCACCCTGCCTACCCTCCCTCCCCCTGCCTACCTCCCTCACCCTGCCTCCCCCTCCCTCCCCCTGCCACCCCCTCACCCTGCCTACCCTCCCTCCCCCTGCCTACCCTCCCTCACCCTGCCTACCCCCTCACCCTGCCTCCCCTCCCTCCCCCTGCCTACCCCCCTCACCCTGCCTACCCTCCCTCCCCCTGCCTACCCCCTCACCCTGCCTACCCTCCCTCACCCTCCCTACCTCCCTCACCCTGCCTACCCTCCCTCTCCCTGCCTACCCTCCCTCCCCCTACCTACCTCCATCACCCTGCCTACTCTCCCTCACCCTGCCTACCCTCCCTCACCCTGCCTACCTCCATCACCCTGCCTACCCCCCTCCCCCTGCCTACCCCCCCTCACCCACCTACCCCCCTCACCCCCCCTACCCCCCTCAACCACCTACCCCCCTCAATCTGCTTACCTCCCATCACCCCACTTACCCCTCCTCACCCCACCTACCCCCTCACTCCACCTACCTCCCCTTCACCCCACCTACCCCCCTCACCCCACCTACCCCCCTCACCCACCTACCCCCCTCACCCTATCTACCCCCCTCACCCCACCTACCCCTCCTCACCCCACCTACCCCCCTCACCCCACCTACCCCCCTTCACCCCACCTACCCCCCCTCACCCCACCTCCCCCCCTCACCCACTTACCCCCCTCACCCCCCCTACTTCCCCCTTCACCCCACCTACCCCCCCTCACCCCACCTACCCCCCCACCCCACCTACCCCCCTCACCCAATCTACCCCCCCTCACCCCACCTACCCCTCCTCACCCCACCTACCCCCCTCACCCCACCTACCCCCCTTCACCCCACCTACCCCCCCTCACCCCACCTACCCCCCTCACCCACTTACCCCCTCACCCCACCTACCCCCTTCCCCCCACCTACCCCATCACCCCACCTACCCCCCTCACCCACCTACCCCCCTAAACCCACCTAACCCCTTCACCCCCCCTCCCCCCTCACCCCACCTATCCCCCCTTCACCCCACCTACCTCCCTCACCCCACCTACCCCCCTCACCCCACCAACCCCCCTCACCCCACCTACCCCCCCCCACCACCTACCCCCCCTCACCCCACCTACCCCTTCACCCCCCTACCCCCCTTCACCGCACCTACCCCCTCACCCCCCTACCCCCCTCACCCTATCTACCTTCCTCACCCCACCTACCCCTCCTAAACCCCACCTACCCCCCCTCACCCCACTACCCCCCTTCAACCCACCTACCCCCCCCTCACCCCACCAAACCCCCTCACCACTTACCCCCTCACCCCACCTACCCCCTTCACCCCACCTACCCCCATCACCCCACCTACCCCCCTCACCCCACCTACCCCCCCCCCCCCACCTACCCCCCTCACCCCACCAAACCCCCTTCACCCCACCTACCCCCATCACCCCACCT